CTTTGAACGTGTCGAGGCAGGCTTTCAGTGTGGAGCTGGCGCCCATCTGGATCCTGTTGGGGCAATAAGTTCACCGAGGAGAGGGAAAAAGGCGGTGCATGATCCACCACCTCCCCACCCCGATGGGGGCAGGAAGCCAAGGGGAAGGCACAGGAATGGAGGGTGCGTCACCGCAAGCAGAGCAGCACAGTTTCCATGGTCCCAGAAAGCAGGAACTCCCTTTGGATCGTCTGGACTGAGGATGCCACATAACTTCTATTTTTTTCTTTGAAAAGAACCAATGTTGGGCACCATGAGCTGTCCCTTTCTAAAGCCTGAAGACACAAATGCTGCCCTGCTCCGCCTTGGCTGGAGTAAGCTCTCCTGGCCCGGCAGCAATGACCTGAGCAGGTCTCCTCCGGGACACAGGGGTTGGGATGATGTTCACATCCCACTTGGTGGTACCTGGAGTCACTCACAACATTCGAGGGGCCTAGGTTTTGGGGTGCTGTGGTGTGTTGCTGCTCCCCAAATCTGCTGGGCACTGGGCAATCGGTAGCCACGGGAGGCACAATGCTCTTCAGATTAAGCATTCGGTCCCTTCTCCTCCTTAAATCCTCCTCCTAACTGCTCTCTGCATGACCTCACTCCATCCTCTCTGTGTGTACTCATGTAAATACAGGTAATTCACGAGCAAACACCAAACTGGACTGGCTGGACTGGGCTACTCACACCAACCAGTCTGGCTTTGGCTGCAAGCAAACGCAGTGTCTGTGAGGCGGTGGGGAAGCCAAGAGCGCTGGGCACTTCCCGGCTGGGCACCTCCACATGGAATCATGCACCAGAGCTGCAAATGCTGCCTGGGGAAGAGCTGAGCGGCAGCAGCAGTTGAAAGGGCAGCAAGTCAACGACAGGGCGTGGGTATAAAACCAGGCAGCAGCCCCAGGGTGCGTACGCAGTGAGAAGATACCCTGGAGGAGGGTATCCCACTGTGCAAGCCTCTCTCCCCGGAGCAGTAAGTGCCAGGATTTGCACCGTGCTTCAGGGAGACAGAAGCTGGAGACAGGCTGGGGATGGGTGATGGAAAGTCAAGTCTTACAGGGATGGATGGAAAACTGGGATCTGTTGAATCAGGAGAAGGGGAAAACGCTGGGGGGAGTCTTCCAATGCAGAAGAGGACACTGGGAAGCAGAAAGCAACAGCCTATTTCCATAACCCTGAGGAAGGAAAGAGCTGGGGCATTAAGGTCAGGAGATGTTTCGTAGCGCAAGGGTTCACGGAGTGATGCCGTAGGTTGCCTAGGGAGGGTGTGAGGTCCTCAATACTGGAGGTTGGACAAATCCCCATCAGAAACGGGCTGGAGCCTCCATCCTGCTGTCGGGCAGCGGGTGAGCTGTGGCACCTGGGGGCCCCTTTCTGCACCCTTTGACTTCCCGCAGGGAAGGAAGTCGCTCACCTGAACATGTTCCCAAAACTCATGTCAATTTTTTCATAGATGGGCTGTGCCAGGGAGCTGTTGATGTCTAGCCGGCCGAAGACCCGGGATGGGTACGCGCCCTTGTTCAGGCACACGGCTTTCAGCGTCCTGTGATAGCCCTGGAACCCGTGGTCTCGCTGCGGGAGCAGAAACACAGAGGAGTAAGGCACGGACAGGACTGATGCCCGACCATGACCTGCACTACCCAGCAAGCCCAGGCGACCTGAACTCCACGTGTTTTGACCCATTTACAGCCTGATTGTGCTGGGTTTGGCTGGCATAGAGTTCATTTTCTTCACAGCAGCTTGCACGGGGCTGAGCTTTGCATTTGTGCTGAAAACAGCGATGATAACGCAGGGATGCTTTAGTAATTGCCGAGCCCTACTTGCACAGCATCGAGACCTTTTCTGCTTCCCATGCTGCCCCACCAGCGAGGAGGCTGAGGGTGCACAAGGAATTAGGAGGCGACACGGATGGGACAGCTGACCCCAACTGACCCAAGGGACATCCCCAGACCATAGGACGCCATGCTCAGCAATAAATCTGGGGGGAGAAGGAGGAAGGGGGCGTCTGAAGTGGTGGTGGTTGTCTTCCTAGCTCACTGCTACCCATGATGGAGCCCTGCTTGCCTGGGGATGGCCAGACACCCGCCCGCGACGGGAAGCAGTGACTGAATTCCTGAGTTGGCTTCGCTTGCAGGCTCAGCCTTTGATTTACCTATTGAACCTTTTTTTCTCTCCACCCAGAAAATTTGGTGCTTCTATGCTTCCGATTCCCTCACCCATCGCTGCCAGGGATGAGTGAGCGAGCAGCTGTGGGGGGCTGAGCTGAGGGCTGAGCCTGGCTTAAACTGCAGCGCTGACGTTTAGCGTACAGCCCTGCCGAGGAAGCAACGCCCTGCCCCGACACGCCAGGCTGCCTTTCAAGGGGGTAGGAAGTATCATGTCTCAGCACGTTCTGCTGCAGCTGCCACAAAGACACAGTCCTAAAGCTGCCTGTGTTGTATCCCGTGGTTGTTGCGTGTTGGGCTTTAATCAGGCAACGCTTTTCCCTCTCTTCCAGGTCACTGCTTTAGCCAGCAAGTTACAGAGTCTGGCTGGCGCTTGTGCTGCTCCAGGGGATCATCCCTGAGCGCGTCAAATGAGAGGAAGTTCTGCAAGGAGGGAACAGAGCTCCACATCCCAGCCCTGAGGATGAGCACCCAAAGTGCATCGAGGCGGTTGAGTTTGCGTTCAAATTCACGATAACTGAGAAAGGAAAAAGCGAGTCACGGTCTTCACATCTGCCCTACTAATGTGCCCAACCTCCTGTGCCAGCCCTCTCTCCACCCAGCCAGGGTGGGAGACATCCCGCTGAGCTGGCTGAGTCTGTGGCACCAATGCCACCTGCCCCAGTGGAGAATCTTACCTTGGAGATTTTTAAAATTACCTTGACAAGACCCAAGGCCTTGACTATCCTATCAATAGTTGTATTATGCAACCTCCTTGCGTCAGCTACGCCTTCCGTGAGTGGCTGGTCAATCGGTGTAAAACATTTTTCAATGTCTTTCCCCAAATCAACAATCTTTTCCATAATTAAGTCTTTCAAGTGACTTGTCTTCACATACTGGTACTGGAATGAATGGACAACAGGGGGAAAAGGTCAGTGAACACCTCGTGCTGGCTGCAGTGTAAACCTAAGCCTGCAAGTATCCCTGCCACCAGTGCAACCAGTGCTGCCCCTGTTCCCTCACCGTGTCCCCCAGGCCAGGCACAGTGCTCAGAAACACCTAGAAGGAAACTGTCCCTCTGTGTCCCCGGGAGCTGGAGAACAGCCTGGGGTGCTTTTGCTGGGGAAGCTGTAGGAGATGCAGTCAAGTGGAACTGGGTGCAGCTATTCGGGGCAGCAGTGCCTCGCTGTGTTTGTCAGCCCACTGCAAGGTATTTTGCCAGCGGTTTGTATGTGGGTCGTGCTGGAAACGCACAGCACAAGCTGCCTGCTCAAAGGAGAAAATCCTGTCGGGAACCATTGCCACCTGCCCAGCAAAGAAAAAAAAGAGTGGTGTTCTCTGAGGCTGTTCTGGACAAACCTGCGCATTGTGGCTGGACCGGAGACTCTGAATCAGTGAGAAAACGACCAAAGCCTCTTCCACATGATCCATCAGTCTGTTCCTCTTGTGCTCTTCGTAAAACTTCTGGATGTACTCCCTCAGCTTTGGGATCTCTGCAACCGTGCAAGCAAGGTGGAGTTAGCAGTGCGAGAGGGCAGCAGCTCCTCCTGCGGAACATCTGGGACATCAGCGTTTCACAAAGGGTGGCCTGAGAAGGTTCATGGGGGATGCAGAATCTCTAGAAAGGCTTTAAGGATTCCTCTGCTGCCAAACCAGTTGCCTGGACTATGCCATTGAACTGAACGATGAGGCAACTGGGGAAGCCAAACGATCTCGATAACGTTGCCTCTTAGGAAGAACCTTTGGGCAGGGGCAAGGCCAGGCTGAGCTCAAGGCACCTTCTCTTGCCTCTGCACTGTTTTTAATCACTGATTTGAAGGGGGCAGGGAGGGGGGAAAGGAGGAGGAAGGGGAAAGGCAATTCCCAGGGACGTCTCCAAATGCAGACACTGTTCCCAGGCTTCCCACGGGGCTGGCTTCCCTCAGCAAGGGCGCAAAGCGTCCCTGCGCGCTTCACGCAGAGAGAAACCCCAAGGTCACCTGTTTCTTCCTTGTTGAGCACCTTCCCCGTCCAGTACTCCCGGGCGCTGACCGTGTACACGAGATCAGGCTTGTGCAGAACGTAGGAGTCGCTTGGGAGCTTTCTCTGCAAAACACATACAGCGACCGAGCTCACTAACGCCTTGTCCCCAAATCCGCGCTAAGGACAACGTAATGAACCTCTCTGCTTCACCCACCTCCCCCAGCACTTCTTTCCTTTCCTGCTCAAGCTCAGTTTCTTCCCTTCCTCCTTCTGCACTGACGTGCAACCTCCTTCTGCAACCGCACGCAACGCTGCAAAGGTAGAGCTGGGCCAAAAGCCGGCTGCTTCACTACGCACAAAAGCCTCTTCTTTTTGAATAGAATCCTACAGCAGAGGGATCTCATTTGGGTTCTTCTCTTTTATTGAGCAAATTCTGCATCAGGGCTCATCCCCACCCGCAAACTGGTTCCTACAGTTCTCGCATATACAATGGAAAATTAAACTGGAGGTGACCAGGAAGACAACTCGGAGCCAACCACAGAGCAAAGGCAGAGTTCAGAGCAATCCAAAGCGCCTAGATAACGGCCAGCCTTCACGGAGAACTTGTGTTTAGATACTATTACAAGAATATTGTAATACAGACATGCCATGGGACACAGACTCATGACACAGGCAAACCCTGTCCAGGTTTTCAAACTACTTTACCTCCAAGTTTTCTTTCATCGTTACTCTCTTCTCCTGCTTCACAGTTTCATTCCTTTCTAGGATGGCATCATGTTCATTCATCTACATTGGGGAGAACAATAGGCATTATTACTGCTGTTCCCTGACAATGTTAAGTAGATCCCTGAGTTTTTAAGACCAAAAGAAATGTCCAGCACAGTTTCTCCCTAAGACAAGGCAAAGAACGGCACGGACTTGCTGGGTTCTGCACTAAGTCAACCAGTTCTGCTCAAGTCACACAATATCGTATGGAAAATTCTCCAGTTTTCTTAAAGGACCTGAAAGCGATGAAGAGACGGAAGTCTGAAAAATACTCACATTGCCTATGTTGTTTTCCCTGGAAAGATAAAATCAAAAGAGAAATTACACACAGAAATGATTTTATCAGGAAATAGCCCTCTGCTCCTGTAAGGAGAAGGGAAGGACCGTGCCAACACGGACCAGGCGGGGTCAGAGCCAGCATCACCCTCCCAGCGCCACACTCCCCCAGAGCCCTGGAATTCAGATTGTTCCCTTACCAACAGTATTCAGCCACATCCATCTCATCAGACATTGTGACCACCAAGGAGATGTCCTGGCACATCCCACACTGGAAAGCCTTCATGCCTTCCTTCAGCAGCACCTCATGGGTTTTGTCTCCCCCAATCCGTTTGATGGCGTTGACCACCCAAATGACAGAGCATTTGTTGATGTTCTGCCATGGGAGGAGGAGAAGAGGCACCAGAAAGAGAAGATATAAACCATCAGCAAAGAATAAATGCCAGAGATGCTGAGCACCTTGAAATCCCAGTAACTCTGGCTGAAGAAAGAGGATGTGCAATCCCTCTGACCAAGTATTTCTGACCAGAGACCTCAGCCTCCCACCATCAAATCCTACAACCCAGGGTGGCCCCAGATGGCGGTTTGGACTGGACACCACTGCTTGCCCTGGTGGAGTGTTTGGTGGTGGCCTGGTATCACAAAGGAAGAAAGAGAAATAATAAAAGCTGAGGTGGGCAACGCTGAAGTGTTAATGTGGTTCTTCTGCTCAAAGGTTTCCCTGTTCCTCACAGCCCGGCTGAGGACCCTCGATGCCTCCGTCACGTGTGGAACAGGAACACCGCTGCAGCACGGCCGAGCTCCCTGCCAGAGAGCCACCAAGTATCCCCATCCTCCCCATGACAGACCTAGCCCAGTCACCTCTTTCCACATGGCATCCCTTTTGCTATTGAAATCGCCCGTCCCTGGAATATCCAGGAAGACGACACCTTCGGGAACCACCAGCACCCTTGGGATGGTCACTTCCACGTTTCTGATTAGAGGCCAGAGCTGTGCGTTTCTGCCTTCTACACTGGTGCCTGCTTCTGGAGGATGCTCTCCGCTATCATTGCTCCGAGTCGAGATATACGGGCGCAATTGTTTTGCAAAGTCTCTTTCCTGGGACACGGCAAGAGAACAAAGAAGTGCCCAACCTTAGCAAGGAACCTCAGCAATACCAGAAAGCCATGACGTCCTGCCCCAGCTGGTTGTGACCACTCCCAGCGCCACGCCCTGGGTGTGGACACCATGGTATGAAGAGGGGAAACAACTTCCCAGTGTCACCACTGGTGGGACAACCCAAGAAGCCCACACCCTTCCCAACATGATGAAGCCAACAAAGACGGAGAAAAGGCATCACCTCCCATCCCCAGTGGGCAACAGGAGTCCCCCCAGGAGCTCATGGTGCTAGTGTTCCCCCTCTCCCTCAGGAATCTGCTGGGCACTGCTGCTCTCCCACCCAGGGACACTGCAGAAGTTCAATTTAACAAGATCTGGAGAGGACCCTGCCCCTCAAGCCTGCCTGCCCTTTCCAGAGAGATGGCCCAGCTCCAAAAACTGTCCTTTCTTACTGGTGCTGAGACAGAAGCCAAGGGGTGAAGATCCTTGACTGTCTTTTGCAAGGACACAAGAGGAGTGCTCATCCTGGCCAAGAAATACACGGGCTACTCACATTGCTCCTCCTGAAGGTGATACATCTTGAAGTGGGAATAGGGATGATGGGATTCATACTACACAGCTCTTTGTAACTCTTAGTTCCAGCTTTTCCCCCATAGATAGCAGAGATCTTCAAAACAGCCTCCTGTCTTTCACTGTCATCCATGTCTCCATCCCCTTCTGCAAGTGCCACCAGACCCTTCAGCTCGTCCTTCCACTCCTGTTGAGACAGAGTAGATGCACACAAGAGGTAATGGCTGGGGTGCCTGGAAGAGGGAGGGGAAGGACACAGCCTGAGCGAGATTGACCTGGGACAACCAGCACCCAGGCATGGCTGAGGGGGGTCTCGAGCCTCCACGACAGGAGGGCAAGGAAGAAGTCGCGTTGCTTCTTCTCTCCTTGCGCACCTAAACCAGGGGGAACCAGTGCCAGCGTCCATCTCTTCTCTGGGCACGCTTTGGCCGTTGGGGTTGCACCCTCCTCCACCCCACAGCCCTCCAGAGAAGTCTGCTAAGATGCAGTCTCCTTCCCTTTCAAGGGCAAAAGTAGAAATGTTATCCGTGCCTCTTCTGTGAGAAGGTGAATTTTTGCCTCGTAGTGTTTGCTGGGGCTTGCGTTGACCTGCACCACGCAGGACGTGCAGGATTTGGTCCCAGACACCGGCAAGAAGAAGTTTTTGTCTATGATGGCATTCAGCAACGTGCTCTTCCCTGCCCCGGTGCTGCCGAACAGGCCAATGTAAATGGGATCCTGCAAAATGTCTGGCTTCAAGCCTGTCAGGCGGTTCCTGAGGAGGGAGAGAGAGAAAAAAAGGACCATTTAAATGACTCGAGTGTGTTTGTGCGTTTCACAGGGGTGGAATAAAACTCTGTGTCTTACAAAAGCGACTTTGAGCGGGCACTTGTGGGATCCTGAATATCCCCTTGTCCAGTGCCAGGACAGATTCCCAGTGGCACGCTGGACACCACATGGGCTTCAGCCTTGTCACAGCGTTGCAGGAAATGTCACCTTCTAACGGGCATTTCATCCCACCAGCAGACGGTGGTTCCTGCCCTCGGAGAGGGTTTCCAGGCAGCTCTGCAAAGCCGGGACAACCTGCACCCGTGGCCTGTGCGTGTACAAGAAGTCTCTCCTCGGGTTGAGGGAGGAGAATGCCGTTGAAGCTGGATGTCCAGGGATGCTCCGCAGCTGTAGCTGCCTCCTGGGCTGCCAAGGAGCGCTACACCGCTTGCCTCCACTGATGGGGGGAATAAACCTTCCTTGAAATGTCTTCAGAGCCTTTGTATGTGGCAAAAACTCTGGACCAGCCCTTTCCATGAAAGAATGGAAAGATGGCCTTTGGGGGGTTGCACCAGATGACCTTTAGAGGTCCCTCCCAACCCAATGCATTCTTGGAGTCTATGCCCTCACTTGAGATGTTCGATCCTCTGTCTTGTCTCAGGCAGGCTGTGTTTGGAGAGGAACTGTGACAGCTTCTCTGCAGACCGATGCAGAACGTCCTTCAGGTCATCTTGCACGCTCTTATCTGCAGGCAGGACATGGTTGGAGGGTCAGGGCTGTGCCTGCAGCCCTCTCTTAGGGAGGCATCTCCCAAGCCAAGCATTTCCCCAGCGGCCCCAGGCACCATGGCTTTGCCATACTCACAGTCCTTCAGAGCCTCTTCCTTCCCGTCTTCAGGATTTTGGTCTCTCTTGGACTTTTTTTTCTGGCCAGCCTCTGTCGGTAGATCAGCATTGCCCCCTGTTTGGGTGAAAGGGGGTTTCTCATTAGTGCATCGGTTCTCCCCTTCTCTCTAGAGGCTTTGCCCACCAAAGATGGTTTGCGACCGCCTTGTTGGAGGGAAAGCTCCCGTTTAACCCACCGCTTTGTCTGTCAGCTGCTCCTGGTGGGAACAAAAGCCCTTGGGACTGAAAGGGATGAACTCAGAGGGAGGACGCACCTCACCTCACCTAACATCTCGCCTACCTCCCATATTCACAGGAAGCTACCGGAGAGACACAAAACCTCCCTTGTTTTGCCTCAGCTTACGTTAAATCCCCCTTTCATGCCACCTAGGGAAGGCGCCTTCGCAGCTCAAGCCCTAAATCTCATCCCCTGTGCTGTGTGAGTGTGTGCTGCAAGGACCCAGTGCCACTTACTGGGGAGAGCTGTGTGAGTGAGTGGGTTTGGGGCCAGCTAGTGGAGTCAGAGGAGGGCTGTGGGTTCCCCTGGCCCACGCTGATAGGTGCTGGAGCCAGTGAGGTCCCAGGGCAGTTAATGGAGCCAGTGAGGTCTCATGGCAGTGACTGGAGCAAGTAGGAGTCTTTGACCTCCAGCCATGGGGCAGGAATGATGATGTGTGTCCCAAAAACTAGCTCCTGGGGGGGACCAGTGTGCATGAAGTGTGTGAGGGGCTCCGTGCTGGTGGCTGGAGTGGAACCACGGGTGCCTGGTGCCAGATGCTGGGGGGACGAGTGTCTGTATCCCCCCAATCCTGGTGTCTGCACCCCCCTCCAGTCCTGATGCCCGTACCCCCCAACGCTGTGGGGTGCGTCTGTGAATTCACCAGCTGTCTTCAAGCCAGATCAGCCAGCGAGCAGGGTGGCCTCAGGTCCCAGCAGGGGTATCAGGTGGGTGAGGGGTCCCTGCTGGTACCCTTGTGCACCCGTGAGTGTGGGGTGCCCGTGGGGCGAGTAAGTGGGTGCTGTGCGTTTGCAGCAAGCACCGAGCTGGACCAGCCGGCGAGGTGGGCATCAGGGCAGGGGTGGTGGAGGACAGAGGGGCCGTGCTGATGCTCGAGGGACCCTCGAATGTGCGTGTACCTGTGACCCCAGGGGGTGTCCTGGGCGTGTGTCTGTGGGACACAGGCTTGGCTTTGCTTGGGTTGACCCTGCAAAGGGGAAAGCAGCAG